AGTACATTGTGGAGGCCTGCGTTGTGCGGGTTTAGTCAAAGTAGACGTTCCATAAAACATGTATGATGAAATACGACGATGACTATCAAGCAGTAACCGCAAAATAACACTGATACTAAAACCGTGATTGACATATGGGAGTTTCCGAAAATTTGTGGTTCCTTATTTTGGGGCCTTCATAATAAGGATCCTACTCTCTAGAGTACCATATTAGGAGCCCCTACTTTCGGAACTCCCATATTCATGCAGTGAAATGGGGGTTTCCGAAAATAGGGGACCCTAATATAGTACCCTAAATAGTAGGATCCTTATTATAAGGGCCCCAAATAAGGTACCCCTAATTTTCGGAAACTCCCAAATGGACTAGACCACGCAACTGTTTTAAGGGATGCAGCCCTCCAGGCTGAGAGCTCGGCTCCTAAGCCCTCTCCCAAAAGGCGGATTGGGGGGGGGCAAAACAAAATCCAAGACAAACGACATTTAAAAACCCACAGACATAACTTTTTTCGCTTTTTTTGCGCCTCCCTCCCCCCCTTCTCCCTCCTGGGAGCCACCGGACCCTCTTCCTCCGCGCGCCACTATCCTGAAGCGGCCTCCTTCGCAGGGTAGGGCAGCCCAGTCCATGTTCCGTGGTTTGGGTGTAGATGGCACTATTCTTGCATGCACAAAACCCAAACATGTTGCATCGCGCTTACATATGTGTGTGTACTTACATGTTCATATATGTGTCACGAAAACATCTGCTTTTAACATGTCTGTATGCATTTCGTATGAGAATATCTTTTTGAAAATGTGTATGTGGATAAATGTAATTTTACGCGAATCCATGTATCTGTTTTATGTGCGTATAAGAGTATGTATGCAAGTATGTATGTATGCCTGTAAACAATCAAGATAAATGAGCGACGGCTTTTATTTGCGTTTATACTACAGTACTTTGAAACGAGATACCTCCGTGCAGTATTTTTGTTGTCGGAACTAGCCCTACTAGGGGAACGAGATAGGGGCGCCGCTTCAAACGAGATCAAGTATATCTAGCACTATAACGATACTTGAACGAGATCGACTTTTTCTGCCAGTACTTAACATGATGAAACGAGATAGGGGCACCGCCTCGAGATAGCGTAATTAGCCCGAGCAATAAATAAACGCAGTGGCTCAAATAGATAAATACATATATATATATATATACACATGCATGTATGTATGAATGTGTATGTATGCCCGCATATCCGAACGAAAACAGACATGCATGTACGTGTATACAAGGGTACAAATTGGGGCATCAGGGAAGTACATTCATGTATATCTCTATATGCACAGATGCATACATGCATACAGACATACATGTATGTGTGTATATATATATACACACACGCACACATTTCGAGAGAGGAAGTGTGACGGTACAGCGGCCGAGAACGGGAATACGACAGAATGAATGCTGGCACTGCTCTACTGCAGCAATTGTTTGTGGTGTATGATTGGGGGCAACAGATAATCAAGATAGACTCAGGGAATGCTGGTTTAAAGAATCAAACTCCAATACGAATTACTAGATGATGGTAGGGGTTATGCAGCCAATCATAAACAAAGCAACTCTGTTGTTCAGAGACCGGAAGCCCAAGGAATCATTGTCTCCCGAGCAACTAAAGCAACAACAACTTAACCGGTAATGATGGGTTCATATGGGCGAATGGTGGCATGCACCCGAGACCCCGTACTGCAGGTGACATAACAAAACTACAGACCCCATGCGTCGAACGATGACAATGACTGGTTCCCCAAAACACAACATCAAATAGATCAGGATGGTTTCATATCTGTAAGTGCCACCGAGGCCTCGAGACACCAAAAGGAACCACTGGTTCCTAAATACCCCAGCATGAGACCCCAAGGCCTAGGCGGGATGGAGGGCAACCCCCAATTCCTGCAAGGCATGGCTCAGTTCCCAAAATCCATAATCTTGAATAGGATATGGTGAAGACACGCAGATGGGGCAAAGTGTCCAACTTCCCCACACAACGCATAACCGAACTTAGGGTATTGCTAAAATGACGACTAGACGAGTGGCAACTCTTCAACCTTAGACCTGGCAAAGCCACCGCAATGAAAGAGATTTGTGCGTCGGAATACCGGTTCCCGAAGGATTATTAGTGCAGGAAAAAATTTGTCTAGTGAGGGGATTGGTGCCCGGAATGCCAACACTCAGCACCAGACCCTACAAAGTTGACTGGGCCTCCAAAACCCGACGGAACAGTCGGGTAAGTTGTGTGTCGAACTCGAAGTGATGGGTGGCAAACCGCTGATTCCCAAGAAAGCCCGATTAGGCAGGAGATGATGGATGATGGATGGCAGAACGATTTAGTAGCCAAGACTTAGTAGGTGTCCCACCTTGGTTATAGGATTTATGAACCTCGAAAGTAAATGGCAAACTCACGCACTTTCCAAGGCGAACCCTCAGCCCGAAACAGTCTTCACAAGGCCAGTCCAAACAATGAAGGAGAAATTGGCCGCAACTGAAAAGTTCGTCGGGGAGATGCTTTGTCATAGTTGGGTAACACTTTACATTCCTATAGGTACTTAAACACTTTACATTCTTATAGGTACTTAAACCCAGTAAGGATGAACAATTTAGCTTGTTAATCCTATCCCAACCATGAACTAGACAAGAACAGAATGATGTGCAAGTATCAGTCCCTCATGCAGCAACGATGACGACGATAACAATAGCAATAACTAAACTAACAACAACATCAAGACCAAGAACAACAGCAGCAGCAGCGAGAACGGCAGGAACAGCAGTAATATCTACAGCAACCTCAACGGCAGCGACAGCAGCAGTAACAACATCAATACCAACAGCTTTAACAAGAGCAAGTAACAGGACCAACGAAACGTTGCATAACGAACAATGTGCAAAACAAAGCAGTATGTATGGCAGAACCGAGCAATAATAGTGATAATGATTGTAGTTTTCGTTTCGTCGTTGTAACAGTTGTAACAGGGCACAAGTAAAGAACTTGTAAAATCCACTCGAACATATGCAAAATACTCGAAAAACAGTGCCTCCAGCAACCCTATTCTAACTGTTGAGGATCCTATACTAGAGAACCCTACTGTAGAGCCCTCATTATAAACCCCTTCAAGGTACCCTTTAAAGGAACACTATTCCAATTATCAAGGCCACTATATTACTCCACCCAGCCCTAAACCCTAAACCCAACCTTCGATTCATGGCGTGTTCTGCTTACTCTTCCTGGCTCTACAATACGCAGCTGCTGTAGTTGGTCGATAGACCTCCCAGAGAGCCCAGTACCCCTGAATTAATTTGGCAATATACCCTAACATTAGGGCTCCTTTAAAGGAGTTCCTATAAGGGTACTATAAGGCTTATACCGTAAAGTTAGGGTTCCTTTAAGGGGGCCGTTAAGGGCTTTCTCAGGGTTTTAAGGGGTTTATAGGGTTAAATACCCTTGATTAGGGAATATACCTTAAATCATAAGGGGCTTCATATCGAGATTTAAGCTACTTTGCTTCATTAAGTGGCATTTCGCTCTCTGGGCTTGTGCTTGATAGTCCGATTGTAGTGGAAGTTCAACAGATTGGCCTTTTTCGTCATTTACGAACCGAGCAAACCAAATCCAAGTCTGATACGTCTAACATTGGGGTCTAACGAAGTAATGTCTACTAGTCCCTTGTCCCTCTAAAATCGCTGTAGTGTAAGATTCCAATAAGCCCTATTTCATTATTACGTACCGCCCCTATACTTTTCAATGCAGCTCCGGCCTTCGGCATTTTGGCCATGGACTGATCAGAAGCGTGAGCCTCCATCATGTCGCTGACGCTTGATGTGAGCCTCATAAGTGGCAAGACGGTGTCACTTCAGACACACGCGGACGATTCTCTGGAATCACTGAGAGGTCGTGCGCAGAGAGCCCTTGGGGGTTGGGAAAGGCCGACTCTTGGACTCCACTGGAAGCGTCCTCGATGTAGGAGCACCGGTAAAGAAGGCCAGGTTGGCGCATGCGGAGCCGCTGACGCTGCAGGTTCGAAGAGTGGACATATGCTGTGGAGGGGGTGCTTTCGCTGCGATCCTGGGGGATGGCTCCGTCGTGACATGGGGCTATGCCCTCTCCGGTGGTGACAGCAACGCTGTGCAATCTCATTTGCAGAATGTGCAACAGATTCAATCAAATCATGGAGCAAAGGCAGCGATCCTGAGTGATGGCTCCGTGGTTACTGGGGGGCTTGCTAGCATGGGTGGTGATAGCAGTGTTGTGCAAGACCAGTTGAAGAATGTGCAGCAGATTCAAGCAACTGATTGTGCCTTTGCTGGGATCCGCCGTGATGGCTCCATCGTGACTTGGGGCAATGCTGATTTCGGCGGTATCAGCCGCGCGATGCGAGATCAGCTGCAGAATGTGCAGCAGATTCAAGCAACTTCGTGGGCCTTTGCTGCGATCCTTGCTGACGGCTCCGTCGTCACCTGGGGCGATGCTGTCTGCGGTGGTGACAGCAGTAGAGTCAGAGATCAGCTGAAGAATGTGCAGCAGATTCAAGCGGCCAAGCATGCCTTCGCTGCGATCCTTGCTGACGGTTCCGTCGTGGGATGGGGCTGCGGAGGGAACAGCACTGATGTTCAACATCAGCTGAAGAATGTGCAGCAAATTCAAGCAACCAGGCATGCCTTTGCTGCCATCCTTGGTGATGGCTCCGTAGTAACCTGGGTGGAGATTCAAGCAACTGGTTTTGCCTTTGCTGGGATCCGCCGTGATGGCTCCATCGTGACTTGGGGCAATGCTGACTTCGGCGGTAACAGCCGCGCGTTGCGAGATCAGCTGCAGAATGTGCAGCAGATTCAAGCAACTTCGCGGGCCTTTGCTGTGATCCTTGCTGACGGCTCCGTCGTCACCTGGGGCGATGCTGTCTTTAAAATGTTTGGTGGAGCGACCAGCAGGATGCCCACGAATGGTCCTGCCAGCCGCCGTGGGAGTCCCTCAGGTCTCGCACGCATCCCACTCCTCGGCCACGCGCTCGGCGAGGGCGAGGACTCGCATCTCCCATCTGGCAGCCTCCTCGCGCGCCCGGAGACAGCGTTGGCGGAGGGAGCCAGTGGCACGCCGCCGGGCCAAAGGACCAGCCGCGCCGTCAGCACGCTCGTTGATGGCACGGAGCCGCTGCAGCGAAAAGAAAGCACTGCCACGCCATCCAGGAGGGGTCGGCTTGCCATGGCTAGGCACCCAGACGGCATCAACCTCGAGTCCGAGCGACCGCAACTGGGCTCGCAACGACCGCAAGAGTGTCACGTAAAAAGAGAGACACCCACAACCATTCCAGGCATCAATCGCCGCCTTGCAATCAATCGCAATGACGCCCCGGCACACCAGCTCGCAAAAGGCCTTGAAGACACAGTCTCAAACCCTCGAGCTCGGCTTTGTAGGGGGATTGATCTTCACCTTGGAGACCAAAAGCAAAGACCCCCCCTCCCTCAACGGCGACAGCGGCAGCAGCGACCAAGTCGAACGCGGAGCCGTCGGTGCCGAGCAACAGCACCCCATCCGGTGGCCACCGAAGTCGGATGTCGGCAGCGATGTCCTCCAGCACCTCACCAGGGTCGAGGACAGGTGGAGCAGGCGGGATCTCAGGCACTGCAACAGCAAGCAGCCGCTCGGCCAATCGCGTAGTAGGCGGCCCGCAGGCGGCCGAGAGCGTGGTGAACTCCGGGCATCTCCAGAGCAGGTGAGGTCGGCTAGGCTCAGCAAGCCCACATCGGCATTGAGGGATGGCCTCCAAACCATTGCGCTTGGCCTTGTCCCATCCACTGCATCCATGGCCTAGGCAAAGCTGTCGGCCAAAGGCGCCACACACAGCGAAATGCTTGCAATGTCCACGAAAAGTGCACAGGGTGCCATTGGCAATCGGCGGCAGCCATCCACCACGAGCCAGAGCCGGCTCAGTGCGATGGTAATCCCTGTGGACCCGCTGGCACTGAACCAGAGCTTCACGACGGTGCCAGTCCATAACCCATTCACGCAAGACCTCAAGGCGGTCCTGGCCGCAGCGGAAACGCCGGATTCGGCCTTGAGCATCGACTCTGGAGATAACTCGGCCGTTCTCCTCGACCTGCCACCCGAGCTCCGTGAGGATGTCCATGGCAAAGTGAAGATACAGCGGCCAAGCACGAAGGGCAACATCAAGAGGGGCCGTCTCCTGCCAAGCCGCCGTGGAGGTAGCCACCCTGGTAACTTCACGAAGCGCGGCCCACCTGCGAGAGAAGACAGGGTCGCAGTCGTAGCCGATGATTTCCAGCGCCAGAGGGCGAGCCTTGTCTCGGACACTCGTCGACCCCACGCGGCAGAGAATGTCCGCCCGCAGCTCGTTGGCCTCCGCAGCTGCGAGGCCACCAAAAGCGCCAGCCCAAGTCCACAAAGGTACCGCCAGGGACCGAAAAAGCCGCCGCCTGCACGCCACAGTCTTAGCAACGACCGAGGCAAGTCGGAGTCGCTGCCGCGCCTTTTGCACCGAGAACCCGGCCAGCAAAGCGCGGCCTCCAGCATTGAAATCAAGCATCAAGCCCAGCACCTTGAGGACGGAGGTGGACTCGTAGCCAAAAGCTCGCACCACACCTGCAGCCCAAGCACAAGAGGAAGGAGCAGCCACCTTGCACTTAGCACTGTCGCAGGAAAAACCCAGAGCACTGTCAAAGTCGCGGCTGGACCGACAAGCCATGCCAGCATCCGCCTGCGGTTTCAGAAGCATGTAACGGTCATCCACAAAGGAAGCCGCTCGTACTCCAGGGAGCTGCTCGAGACGCAAAGCCCAAGCCAACATGACGGTCGAGGCGAGGAGCGGACTCAGCGGGCAACCCTGGCACAGTCCTCGAGCCGTCCTGTGCCAGCAGCCTCCGAGCAGACCTCCCGCCGAAAAAAGCTTGTAGTGCTCGTCGTAGAAGAGGCTCACCAAATCGCGAAACTGGCGCGGCGCGCCAAGCCGCTCCATCGCCATGTCCAAATCCTGGTGGTCGATGCCATCGAAAAATTTTGACAAATCCTCAGCGACAGTGACTCCTCCATCCATGCTGGAAACAAGCACTTGACTGACAACATCCTTGAGCGACCTACGCGGCACTCCACCACTCGTCTGATGCCCAAGCCATGCCTCCGCCCAAGAAGAAACCTGCGAAAGCACCGCCCTCGCACCAATCCTATAGGCGATGCACAGCAAAGACAGCGGCCTGCAGTCACCGTTGCCCTTCGGGATGAGAGCAACACGCGAGTGGCGCCAGATGTGTGGCAACTTCTTCAGCCGAACCACCGCCTGCCAAAGACTCGCCAGGCAGTTCCAGAAATCCAGCGGCAAATGGCACCACAAATCAGCCGTCCAGCCGTCTGGTCCGCCAGCTTTTCCACACATGGTCTTGCCGATGGCAAACAGCTCAGCACCAGTGAAGGACAGCTCAAGATTCGCACGCGGCAGCTCCGGAAGAGAGCTCAGAGCAGTCGCAACGGCGGCATGGCAACGTCCTTGCCTGCGCGACCACCGGGGCAGCCACTGCTCCTCCGCCTCAGCAATGACCCGCGTCGGATGGATGGCGACCCGAGAAAGAAGCGGGTCCACCTCGCCAGCATTCTCAAGCTCCTTTTCGAGGCCGGAGCGACGCTTAACCCAAGCACACTGCGCCTTGTAGTTGAAGTCGATGCCCTGCCTCCAAGCAGCCACTGCAGACTCCAAAGACTCCTTCTCAAGCGCGGCCACAAGGGAATCCACCAGCCGCACAGCACCGAGCTCACCGCCATGCCGGAACTCCAAGAGCTCAGGGAAGGTGTGGCCCAGGAGCCCCAGGTCGGCAACAATGTTGCGCCGCAGCTGCGCGTCATGCTGGACACGGCGCAGATGGGCAAGTCGTCGTTGAAGGCGCCGCATCCGCGTCAGCAAGAGGGACTCGGCGCCGGCAGCAGCTTTGTGAACATCACGTTCTCGGTGAGGTCGCCACGTAGAGTGCCGAGCACAACCATTGAAGCGCTGAGCTGGGCCAGCCATCGCCTGTTCAGCAGCACTGGAAAGGATGGTCCAAGCCTCCTCGACGTCCGTGGTGAGAGCCGCCTGGAAAGAAGCAGCTCGGGTTCGCCACACCTCCTCCCAGCACGAGGGCGAAACATCCGCCGCAGTAAGAGAGGCGCGAGGCGGACCAGAGAAACCCCGTGGGCCAGCGAACCTCATATCATAAGCCGTGCCTCGATGATCAGCGATGGTCTCGAAGGTATGGAGAGCCTCCGCCGACAATTGCCGGGAAGCGAGGCCGAAGTCGATCCGCCTCAGCCGACTCGGAGAAGTAGCCGGGAGCGGGCCATACTCAAGAAAAGCTTCGTCGAGGCTTCGAACATCAGCACGGGCAGCAAGCTCCCAAGCGGCAGGGGCCTCGTCCAGGGCAACGTTGTAGTCACCAAGCAGCATCCAGTCAACACGCCGACGACATAGAGCATCAATCACCTGCCCACTATGACGAGAGGCAGCCTCAAGGCAACTCGCGTGGCCGTAGGTACAACCAACAATCACCTTACGGTAGGAGCCGTTGCGCTGGACCTCGAAGACCATGGCCACCGCCCTCGCTGCCTCCTCGACACCCTCAAGCTGCAGCAGCTTGCCGGGAAGCTTGCTAACAATGGCACACCGTCGCATGGAATTGGCATCGGCAACACCAGCAAAGATGTCGAAGCCCTGAGCCCTGAAGCTAGCGACCACACGGGGCCACGACGGCTCGTTGACATCAATCTCCTGAAGACAGCAAATATCAAGGCCCTGGGACTGCATAACCGCGACCACAGCCAGCACTTTACTCGCCAAGCTCTTGCCCACATTCATGGTGCCAACACGTGTCACTCGGCCCTCTAAAGGATGAGCCGCCGTCATGATGTCACAGAAGCAGGTCTGCGGCGAGGATCACTGCGATGCAATGCTGCTTCAGCGGCAGCCAGCCTGGCGGTGAGCACCTCCTCAGGAAGACCGTGCGGCCCCCGCCTGAGGATCTTAGCAACCTTGAAGAAGCGCCTGCGGCGCGCAGCATGGGTGCCCTGTCGGGGCGGCACTTTGCAACACCTGCGAGACCTGATGGACTTCGGCGACACATGTGTGAACAGATGGCAGCACTCCTGGCAGCTCCAAGCCTGCCGCCAAAGCACATGGCAAGTGCGACGGTTTTTCGAAGCAAGCACTGGCCACAACAACTCATCGAAGCCGGGGAAGTCAGCACCGCTCGCCACTCGCTTCACAGCCCTCTTGTTGGCAGCGCACACCACACGGCTCCGGCGAGCGCTTCGGCGGCGCATAGCCTGCGTAGCAGCCAGCGCCTGCCACTGACGATCATTGTAAGAAGCATGTCGTTCACGACGATGCTTTGTCTTTTCCCTCTCAAAGACATGTTTGGAGATGCTGTCCCTCGCCTGAGCAGGAATGCCGAAGCGGCAAGCAGGGCATTTCCAGTCGTAACTGTCGGCTTGGATCTCGGCCACGGTAAGCCTCCGGAAAGGAGTGTCCACAACCCGCACAGATCCAGGGACCCCGACTCCATCGTGCCAGCGAACCAGGTGTGTCCGCCGGGCCGAGGAAACCACAGTCCTCGAGGAGTGGGTGTAGGCGTAGTCGCAGTGAGGACACTCAAACCGCGGTGGGCCATCACCAGTCACCAGCACATTTCGGCGGTAGCGCGGCTGAAGCAGCGCTCGTTGGCTTGAGCTAAGCGTCGGAGGTGGATCAGCGTCGGTCGTGGCTCCCTGAGGCCGTGCCGAAGAGCTCTGAGCACCAGAAGTGTGGCCTCCCAGCGTAGAGCAAGAAGACCGCGCGTCCATGGGCCTAGCCGACAAGCCCTTGCCACCAACAGTGCAGCCACCAAGTGAAGAGCGAGAGGAGCGCGCCGTGCAACCACCGAGCGTGGAGGCGGGCCGAGTACTCACGCTGTCCTTGCCTCCCCCGCGCTCAGCCGGGTCACCGAGAACCGCCTTCACAGCCCCGGTGGAGGCCGTCTCCAAGGCGCTAGCCTCGCCCACAAGCGCTTGGTAGTGTCGGTCGGAAAACCACAAAGCCAAGGGCGTCTTAGCACTCGGGGCACCAAAGACGCGGATGTCGAACTCGCCCGGGTTCTCTGGGTGCGGCCTGAAGACGAACACCTGTTGAGCGAGCGTAGCAGCAGCAGCGGCAATTTCTATGCTGCCGCCCCATGCTCCTGGTTTTCCCAGTTTCATGAGGTAGGCTTCGAATCCTTCATCGAGCATGGGCTCCTGAGCAGCGCTCGGTGCGTCTCCTTTCCAAAATCCGGCATAGGAGTCTTGATGTCTCCGCAAATGAGTAACCACTACATTGCGGAGCTCTGCCGCGGATCGCTTGGACCTGCCTTGATGATGAAGGGCATCGGCCAGGGCCAAAAACAAACACTCGCCACCTCCGGTGTTGTCACACAGCCGGAGCCCACCTGGAAGCAGCCGTGCGGAAGCAGAAGGAGCCTCCGACTTAATGCGCTTGTTGGCGCTATCGGCAGCAGCAGAGGGAGTCGGTAGAGATTTCCCATCGTCGAGGCGCGGTCGATCATCGCCCCCATCGACGGCCATGTCGGCCTCCGCGGGCTCAGCATCAGCAGTAACCGTGGCGACACGAGTCCGCGAGGTCTTGTGCTGCTCCTTAGCAGGGTCCTTGCGGGCAGGCTTGAAGACCTGCTTGAACTCCAAAGGAAGAGCCCGCTCCTTTCGAAAAGTGCGTTCACCACCGAGCCGCATGAACTCCAAAACTCCATCCTCGATCTCAAAGGTCATGAAATCAATCTCAACGCCAGCAGTGGCACGGAAGCTCCAAGCCGAAGCCCCTCGCCAAGGCGATCTGTCCTCGATCTCGACGTTCTCCAAACCACACTCGGTAGCAAAGCCCTGGACATCCTCCAAGTCCCAGTCGCGGGGAACTCCAGTGACGCGCCATCGCCGGCGCACAACCTTAGGCCGTGCCAAGTCCTCTTGGGTGGCAACTTTGCGTACGCCCAACTGCCGATGGCCACGAGCAAGGCCGAAGTCAGCAGATTGAGCACTGCGGCGGCACCGTGCTATGTAAGCCGGCCAATCTTCGCCATCCTGCCAAGGCACCCAATGCACCGTGAGCTGAGGCACAGCAGGAAGAGGCTGCTCGCGATGCATGCTAGAGACGAACCATCGCATGCCTGCACAACGTGAGCCCGACATGCTCATGGCCTGAGCAGCCTTGCTAGCACTAAGGCGGCAAAGCCCTTCAACAGTAGCGGAAGGGCCGCCCGGGCCCCGAACCAAACTCCATGACCACGAATCCTTGCAGCCCTGGCATGCTGCTTCGGCCCACTTCCTGAAGTGGGCCCCGGGGGCCTTTGTCATAGCCTGCCAAGCCTGCTCGCTAAGCCCAGCGTAAACCCAATCGGCGTGGACCCGAAGCACAACGGAATCCTGAGGCTTGGGCACCTGAGGAGCTGAAGCAGCGGGCTTCAGGCGAGGCGCATCGTCGCTCAAGTGAGCCACAGCAAGCGAGGTAACCCGGACCCGGCCTTGCCAATCTCCAGGAACACGTTGCAGATGCCAGTCCACCTCCGTAAAAGCCTCCCGCTCGTTCGTCAGAAGATCAGGAGGAACCAGCAGCGTAAGGTCAGGCCCACTGTCAGAGCTTTGCACAACAGTGCGAAAACACTCCAGCTCGTGAGCGTCAGTCACCAATGCTACAGCATCCCTGCTCGGATCATGCAAGAAATCTGCAACAGTCTGCACCAGATCCGGAGCAGGAGTCCAGTCCTGCGGCCGCGGTTTCCAATGCTTGAACAAAACAGCGGGGTCAGAAGAGGAGTCCTGCTTGTTGCCGTTCCTCCCCTTGCCGCCCGATCCTTTGCCAGCCCCTTTGGAACGAGACTGGTCACGACCTTTGCCGTTGCCCTTGGCAGGAGAGCCGGCCAACGTGACCGCCCGCGACTTCTCAGCAAGAGAATCAACACGAAGAGCAGGATCAGCATGCGCCTTCTTCTTTGCCTTCTTTCTTGTAACTTCAGTCCAGCCGTCATCTTCAGCAGGGGCTGGGGCGGCACGCCCAGCATTCCAAGCATCCCATTCGGCTTGGGACCAAACCTCAGCCGGATCACGCTTGGCCTTGGCCTTGTTCCAGCGAGCAGCAGGCTTCCAGGAGGCAGCAAAGTCAGTCCCGGCGGGCTCGGGGGCCCAAGCCCTCGAATAATCAACGGCACCATCATGGCTCCACGACCTCACTATCTTCTGCAAGGCCGTGTAGGGATCCCTGGGTCGATCCCACAGAAGCTGCTCAAGTTGCGCATAGAGAAGCTCTGCCCCAGCATCAACCCCAGCATCGTCCTCGTCGGTGCCCCAATCGCTCAAAAGGCCATGCAGGCCCTCCAAGAGGCGCTCAGTGCGCTTACGGCGCGTGGCGTGGGAGCCACCAGCACCTCCACGGAAAGGGTCTACACCCTCAGCAGGCTTGGCCAAAACGCCTCCGGCCCCGCACTGCTTGTCATCGACACCACCATGCCTGGCTGATCCACCACCAGCCCCGTCATCGGCATCATTTGCATGCGTAAGCAAGCCCGGCAAAATGCGCGGGACAGCACCATCAGCCACACCAAAATTCTGAGCACAAAGGCCTGGAACATCAACCCCAGGAGGGGAAAAACTGAAAGCAGTGACGTCGGCACCACCAAGGGATTGCGTCTGGCGGCCTCGAAGAGCGCGAGGAGGATAAATCGGGCAACCACGCCTCCGACATCCAAGCCCACGACCTCGAAGCACCCAAACCTGAGCAGGGCAGCGAACACCAAGTCGCCTCCGCCCGTGCTTGACGGCAAGCCGTCGTCGATCGGCAAAGCGAGCTGACCAAGCAACTGTACACCATACATCGCCAATCTGCTTGGACAGCTCAGGCTGATGAAGGGACTTTCGCTTCCTGCGGCGTCGCCTCCACCATTTCCTGCGAAACATGCTCCTGCCAACAGCGCGTGGCACTCGAGCCCCCACAGCTTCCACACCACTCTTGGAGCATGACCCATCAAAGCGTGGGCCACCACGAAAACAAAGCAGCACACCAGCTCCCGCAGCCAGCATGCGACATAAGGCCGAGTCCCGCCCATGGGCGCGAAGTGCCCTGAGACGAGATCTCGAAAACCATCGAAACTGAAACCACAGCAGGCCGGCTCCCACAACCAGCCCGCCCAGGATCATCAAATAGTGATCCCATCGAATTGTCATGAAAAGCCCACTGCCAATCATCCACAAGAAGAACATAACAAGGCAGTATGGGCTGCGCCTGGGAGAGATTTCGCACTCGCCAACCGGCAAGCCCGCGTGCGCCTCGTGGAGGCACTCCCCGTGCACGCGGGCGATGCTGTCTGCGGTGGTGACAGCAGTAGAGTCAGAGATCAGCTGAAGAATGTGCAGCAGATTCAAGCGGCCAAGCATGCCTTCGCTGCGATCCTTGCTGACGGCTCCGTCGTGACCTGGGGGGACGCTGACGGCGGTGGTGACAGCAGTGCTGTGCGAGATCAGCTGAGGAATGTGCAACAGATTCAGGCAAATAATGAGGCCTTTGCTGCGATCCTGGGGGACGGTTCCGTGGTGACTTGGGGCCGTCCTAGCACCGGCGGTGACAGCAGTGCTGTGCGACATCAGTTGAGCTACAGCTACAGGTAGACAAGCGTTTCGCCATGCATGACTCCTGTACCCTAAACCCTAAGGTAAAAGCCAGAAAGTTGGAATACGATTATCCTAACCCTTCTATGGTAAATTATAGTGTATCCTACCATGAAACCATATTCCAATTTTCTGGAGTTGCCTGTAACCCTCTGCAGGAATCCTGCCGGATGG